TCATTATCAGGGGTGTTACATATCTGACTGACATTTAAAAAATAAAAATCTGGAGACAATGTTGATAACAGACTGGAAATAGGTTTAAATTTCACGCAAGGAGATAGGTCAAGAATCTACTGCACTTGTCAAGGCTAAAAATATTGAAACCTGGTCTAAGGTAGAGATGAGGAGAATGAAAAGGAGGGAATCAAGTCAAGAGACAATGGGGGGGGTGGAGCAAGATGGCGGAACGAGAAACACAGCCAGATAGAGTGTCTCTGCAGAAAAGACAGATTCTAGCAGAAATTAGAAAAAAGCAAGAAGACGAACATACAGCAGACGAGGGCGGGAAGGAGGGGTATCTGAGACCCCGGGAGACTCCACAGGAGGAGGCTGCGGAGGAGAACTGGAGGCTGAGACCACCGGAGCAGCCCGGAGACCAGCGGCAAGGGTAGGTGGATTTGCTGTTTCCCCTACCCTGCATTTGGGACTGCTGGTAGGCTCCCCAGCAGGTGGAGAGACCTGCGGACACCAGCCCAGAGACGGCCGCCGCCAGCCAGCGGTGAACCTATAGCAGACGTGGCACCAGGTTCCCAACTTCCTCCGGGCACCTCCGTGTGCACAGACCAGAGTCGCGCAGCAGGCGCCATATTGCCTTCTGCTCCCCTCCACCGACCCTACCCGTGGCTGCCCAGAGAGACAATACAGCTACCAGCCAGAGGCACCTCCAGGGAACGGGACCTTCCATTTGGGGACCCTACAGCTGACTCAGGGGAACTCAGACTGTGAGCTCCCTACCCACCAGCTCTCCCAGGTGCTGCTGGCATAGTGTTCCAGGAGAGCGTGCCGACTCATTCCAGTCTGTTATCAACATTGTCTCCAGATTTTTATTTTTTAAATGTCAGTCAGATATGTAACACCCCTGATAATGAATCTTGAATGGCTTTCCATTACCTTCAGGATAAAATATGAAGATCTCATCATGGCCTGCAAAGCCCTGTCCCTGATAACCTCTCCAGCCCACCTTCTACTTCTTCTTGTGGTGATTCCCCATTTCAAGATTCACATATTGCCTTCAAAAGGCCTTCTTCTCAACACCACCTACCCCAGGCTAAGTTATTAGAGCCCCTGAGATGTACCCCATTACAAGTAGTGTTAGTTCACTATTACTTATCCGTAATTCCCCAGCAGATTGTAGGCTTCTTTAAGGCAGGGGCAATGTCTGCTTTCTCACAGTATCTCCACCTTCTGTTGATAAGCCACGGCCGGGGCTCAGTGAATGCTTGTTGTGTGCCTGCATGTGTGCATGACATGCCTGCAGGGATGGACACATGGATGAACACGCCAGAGCAACAGCTGCACAGTAGTTTTCCAGGCACCCTGCCACCTCCTGGAACAGACCTCCCCAAAATAGTCCTCCTACCTTTCTGGGTGTGAACTTCCTTCCTCTTCACATCTGTTGCTTCAAGTGTGATTCTGCAGAATTTGGAAGAGAACACGTATTGAGCTGCTTAGTTTTCTGGGTTGTTCGTTTTCTTTCTTTTTTATCCTGTACCTTTCTGTTTTCTTCTCTCTCCCTTTCTCTTTTTCTCTCTCCCTTTCCCTTTTTCTTTCTCTCCTTTCTTTCAAGTGATGATATCCTGCCTGTATCATTGTTATGGATGAACTCTTTAGGGGTATGGTCTATAAATGAGAATTTGGTACAGAGTGAGCTTTTCCCTTTTGCTGATCTTACTGCAAGTTATGTTATCTCAATTATTAAAGAAAAAAGGAATAGTATAAATTCTCAGTTATTTTATGTTCCCTATTAGTTCTGCTTTGTTTTTGTTCCCAGTATTCTGTTAATTGTTTTGATAAGGGCAGTCATTTGGCCAGTCAAAATAACCTGATTTTGTCTTTACTGGGAAAGTTTTGTTCTTCTCTTTTAGAATGAATCTGTTAAACAGTTCTCTATTTCTCCATCTGTTAAATGAGGTATGTTAGTCTGCTCAGGCTCCTATAACAAAATACTATAGACTGATATCACTAAGTCATATCATCCTTTTTCTTTTCTCCCTCCCCCTCTCCCTAGGACAGGCTTTGGAACTGGGTGGACCTGGAATTTATTTCTGACTCTGCTCCTTCCTAGCCAAGGGACCCTGGGTTTGAAGTCTCTAAGCTTCTGCGGCCTCACCTGTAAAATTGATATAATACCCACCTTACAGGGTTCCTAAGAGGGTTGAGTGAGAGAGAGCAGATTGAAGCACTTTGTACCAAACCTGCATGCATAAGTCCATAATAAACATCAGCTGCTACTCCAGCAGCTGTGAGAATCATGGTATTTTTGCCACTCTGGATTATTCCATTTGGCTCCTTTCCTGTTGATCTGAGCACATTGCCTTTTTCTGTGCTTTTCTCTTATTTGGCTTCCGTCCCCTCTGGCCTTTCAGCAAGCATACTGATCCTTCAAGACCTTCTTTGAACAATGGGCTTATGGGCTCCATTTCTTTAATACATCTCTTTCTCTTCATGTGGTGTCTCTACCATGTCCTCTGGCATTTCACAATATATATGTCCTTTGCTTTCCCAAATGTCTTTGATTTGTCTTCATACTGAAATTTCCTGAGTCTGATCCATGAACTTTAAAATTCACCAGAATTAGAATTTTGTGTCCAATAAGAATCAACAGATTGAAGGTACAATAGTTCTCCAAGGAGTCTTTAGGGCATGGCCTACCATATGAATATGGTTCATATGCCAACCACATGGACTCTGTAGAGGCTTTTATAAATTCCTTTCTGGCTCTTAGAGAGTAAGGTTGTAGATTTTAGATAGGCCAGTTTTTACTGTAGTTGACAATAAGCCTTTGTTGAAGTGAAGCAAAAAAGTTGGCTGGGAACCCTTTTATTCTTCTGTAGTAATAACATAGGGACAAGTTGGAATAAGGAATAAAAAATTGTATTTTGCGCTCCCCCTCCCACTCTAGTATTAGTGAATCGCTTTGTCCCCCGGTAGGTGGGTTTCATGTTGTTATGAATTGTTAGACATTCCAGGCGGCAGGTATCATACTGCTTTGGAGTTTGCTCTGAGGCTGATAAAGTGTGGCTGGGAAATGTAGCTAAGCTTTTAAAAGGGCATGGTTTTTAAGTTCACATGTGGTAATTATAGAGCCAATGTGTCTTTTTCTTGCAGACTGGGTAATTGTACGTAGAGGGTTGGGGGGGTTAAGTGGGTGTGTGCCCTTATGGGTACCCAAATGGTTGACTTATTCAAATGACGCCCTCTCCATTTCAGAGCCTTAGGTTTTGGTGAGATGAGCAGAGGGTAATTTATCACCAGATCAAGCCCTAATTTCATTGTCACCATTTTGGTGTGTATATACCAGGCCTACTTTATTTGTGTCATTTAGAACTCTAGAACAAACTGTTCTGTAAATATTACTTAAAAAATAATGTTGCACTATCACTTTTTCTAAAATAAACTTTAAAAGCTTTGCGTTAGAGAGCTATTTTCTTCTGTTAACTTTTTTTTCTTAAATTGAATCGCAGATTTTCTGAGAGTTTAAATAAGGTAGTATCTTCTGTTACACAACTCTTTCTTTCATTTTGGTGGTATGAGGGAAAAGAATCCTGTTTACTTTTGCTTTGCTGTTATTGTTCAGAGCTCTGTAGGTAAATATTAATGAATAGTTTTAATCATCAAATCTTTGCCAAGAGTATGTGTGGTGTTTGTTTTTCCATTTTTGTGATACTTCACTTAGAAGAATGGTTTCCAGTTCCATCCAGGTTAATATAAGGTACTCGTTCACCATTTTTTTAATGGTTGAGTAGTACTCCGTGGTATACATATACCATATTTTATTAATCCATGCATGTATTGTTGGGTACTTGGGTTGTTTACACTTCTTTGCAATTGTGAATTGTGCTGCTGTAAACATTCGAGTGCAGGAGTCTCTTTTGGAATGTCTTTTTTCCTTTTGGGTAAATACCCGGTAGTGGGATTGCCATACTACTTTCCGTAGAGCTTGTGCTAGTTTGCAGTCCCACCGACAGTGTATGAGTGATTTCTTTTTAATATGCCCCAAGGTAGTATTTGCTGTGGTTTGAATGTGTCTCCCAAAGTCCATGTGTTGGAAACTTAATCCCCAGTGCAATAGTGTTGGGGTATAGGGTGGGGCCTGATGGGAGGTATTTAGGCCATGAGGGCTCCACCTCTAATGAAAGGATTAATGGTAATTATGAAAATGCTTTAGGCTGTGAGATCTCTTGTTCTCCCTTTGATGGGATGATGCAGGGAGGAGGCCCACACCAGAGGCTGGCCTGTTGATATTAGACTTCCCAGCCTCTACAACTGTGAGAAGTAAATTTCTTTTCTTTACAGATTACTCAGTTTGTAGTATTCTGTTATGGCAACATGAAACAGACTAAGGCAGAATTGCTATGAATCGATTTTGTCCTTTACTGCTGGGGTTGACAAACTACAGCCCATGGGCCAACCATGGCCTGCTGCTTATTTTTGTAAATGAGGTTTTATTGGAATACAGCTGTGCCATTCATTTACCATAAATGATTTGCAGACTCCTTCTCTGGTGTAAATGTCAGTTTTTCTTTAGTTCTGATATCAAACAGAGGACTATGACACATAATTTTAGAAAAGTAACTCTCACAGCTATAAACACCAAACACACAGGATAGGTCATTATTTGAAAAAATAAACGCATTGTCCTTGACATTTTTGTACATGTCACCAAAATTTACCTTAGTTTTCTGAGAAAATATATGGGTAATTTATGGAGTTGGTGGTAAAACCAAGATAATGCCATCTTTCTTGAGGCCTGGTCCTCCACACACGTTACTCTATGACTGTGGGCAAGGCGGCTAACTTCTGAAATGTACTTTTCACATAGATGCAGTGAGGACTAGAATTTTCATATTTGTCCCTGTAGCTCCTGAATCTCTATCTGCCACTCTGATACTTTCCTGAGCTTTAGCCTGCCCATATAGTCATCTTTCAAATAGCATGCTTGCTTTGTCCTCCAGGTATGTCAGACGGAACACATCTTTGATGGACATTTACTGCTGACCACTGACGTCTAGTCCTCTACGTCTGGGCTATTTCTGGGCTACTTCTAGGAGAATTGCAACTCCCTAACCCTTGAAGTCAGGTACAATCGTGTATGTATTTCTGCCCAGTAGACTGTGACTGGAGGTGATATGTGCCACTCCCGGGTTGAAGTATTGAATATCCAGGGTGTGCGTCTTCACTTCCTCCTCCTGCTTTCGCCACTGTCAGCTTGGGCCCCAGAAGGAGGCCTCCCGAAGTACCAGAGGCATATAGCATGAATGGAAATTCAGCCTTTGCTGTTTAAATCGCTGAGATTTGGGGATGGTCTGTTACCATAGTTTACCCTAATCTAGCCTGATCAGTGCAGTGTCCAAGCGGAACTTCCTATCTTTCCCTTCACACGTGCCACCTTTTTGTTCTTTAGTTCATAGGGTAACACTGTTATATATTTACTTGACAGAAACCTGGGGATTATCTTTTTCTTTTCTATCTTCTCTTGCTCCCAGTATCCAGCCAATTCTCAGATCTTTTAGCTTCTATTTCTTTAATACCAGTTTTATCGTACCTCTCTGTTGAGTCCCACTACTGTTGTCTTGTTTTGGGGTGTATAACCTCCCACCTGGACTATTCTATCTATTCACCCTTTTTATAATCCTCCGGCAGTCTACTCTATCTCATGTCCCTTCATTTCTCACAAATCTTCATAGGTTCTATGCTGTTCCTAAGAGAAAACGAAACTCCTCAGCATGTTGAGCCAGCCTCTCCGTGATCCTGTCTCCCCAGGGCACTCTCTGTATATGTGCAGTCCATACTGAACTACTTTCAGTATCCTTTGTCCAGAAGGACCTATCTATTTGCCTGTCAATCTCTCTCTTATGCCTTCAAGTTTTACTTTAAGAGCTCCCTCCCCTCTAATGCCCTTTTTGATTTTCCCAGGTGCACTTACACATTCCTTTCTCAACATTCTCTTTGTACTTTATACAGACTTCTTTGCTTATACCAGCATATTAAATGTAATTGCTTGCATACCTGGTTCTCTTACTAGATTGTCGCCTGCTTGGTGGCAGTTTTTGCCCACATAATTAACAGAATGTCTATTACATAGACTTTTTTTTTTTTGGCTTAAAAGATATCATCAATCTTTTATTTAAGCACTACCCTTCATTTTGAAGGAAATGATACATTTTCAAATCAGAACTTCCTTCTCAAGAGGTGGTATAAGAACATAACATTGATTTAACTTACAACCTTCAGCAAAAATAAAGTTTATACAATTCATTGGGAAATAAAATGCATGTAGAATTTATCCTGCTAGTCAATGTAATTCTCCATGGATCACAAGTATTATAGCCAAGAACAAAACGACCTAATGAGAAGTTGAATGATCCAGTCAAGTTTATAGTTACCATGATTAAAAACAAATTCAAAAATAACATGTAATTTTCCAAACAAATCCATTTGATGACCATGATCACACTAGATTTTATTCTAATTTATAAAAAATGGTTAGACAAGCACATATCAAGAGTCTTCAACACAGTGGATTCCGTTTTGGTAAGAAAAAAAATAGAAATTGTAATTGTTTAATGAATAATTTATTGTTATTTTTAATAAGAAATAATTGTTTTGATGAAATAAAAACATGACAATTTAAGTTCAGTAACAAAACTTTTTAAGACTACAGTTTTTATTCTTTTTCAGGGGAGGATGGCATACATTTTAAGAATCAAAAGAACTTTTCTTTCAACAAAGACTTAGGTGCCTAAAATGTTTTCAATATCAGTGAATACTTACTGTTATTTTTTAATAAAAAGGTGAGGAACATTGTTTGCATTCCCTCACATACTTACCATTTATTTGTAACGAGAATAATTTAAAAGCTACTCTCGTAGCAATTTTTAAATATACAATGCATTGATATTAACTATAATCACCATCTTGTACAATAGATCTCTGGAACTTATTCCTCCTATCTGTCTGAAATTTGTATCCTTTGGTCATTATCTCTCTACTCCTACCACAGACCCTGGTAACCATCATTCTACCCTCTATTTCTGTGAGTTTGACTTTTTTAGTTTCTACATATATCATGCAGTATTTGTTTTTCTGTGCCTGGCTTATTTCACTTAACATGACATCCTCCATGTTCATCCAAGTTCCTGAAAATGACAAGAGTTCCTTTTTTTTTTAAAGACTCAATGCTTTCCAGTGTGTGTGTGTGTGTGTGTGTGTGTGTGTGTGTGCCATTCATCCATCAGTGAACACTTAGGTTGAGTCCATATCTTGGCTATTGTGCATAATGCTACGATGAACAGGGGAGTGCAAATACCTCTTTGACATTATAGTTTTATTTCCTTTGGATATGAAAGAACCCAATAGTGGGATTTTTGATCATATGGTAGTTCTATTTTTTTTTTTTTTTTTTTTTGAGACAGAGTCTCGCTTTATTGCCCAGGCTAGAGTGAGTGCCGTGGCGTCAGTCTAGCTCACAGCAACCTCAAACTCCTGGCTCAAGCAATCCTCCTGCCTCAGCCTCCCAAGTAGCTGGGACTACAGGCATTCACCACCATGCCTGGCTAATTTTTTGTATATATATATATTAGTTGGCCAATTAATTTCTTTCTATTTATAGTAGAGACGGGGTCTCGCTCTTGCTCAGGCTGGTTTCGAACTCCTGACCTCGAGCAATCCGCCTGCCTCGGCCTCCCAGAGAGCTAGGATTACAGGCGTGAGCCACCGCGCCCGGCCGGTAGTTCTATTTTTGAATTTTTGAGGAACTTTCTCTTTTCTATAATGTCTACCAATTTACTTTCCTCTCAGCAGTGTTCAGGGTTTCCTTTCTTACATAGCCTTACCAACACTTGTTATCTTTTGTCATTTTGATAATAGCCATCCTAACAGGTATGAGGTGATATCTCATTGTGGTTTTAGTGTATGTTTCCCTGATGATTAGTGATTTTGAACAATTTTCACATACCTGCTGGCTATTTGTATATCTTTTTTTGAGAAATGTCTATTTAGGTCCTGTGTCCATTTCTTAGTTGGGTTATTTATTTTATTGCTAATGAGTTGTTGGAGTTTCCTATATATTGGATATTATCCCCTTATCAGATGTAAGGTTTGCAAATATATTTTCCCAGTCCCCTCCCCAGGTGGGGCAAGTGGTGGGTCTCAGAAATAGTAAAGACAGTGGGACTCTGAAAGCTGTGCTAGACCACTGTCTTCTCCCCTTGGTCAGGACACAGCCAACAGGTAGGGTGTCTCTTCACTCTGTTGACTGTCCCCTTTCATATATAGGAGCTTGTTAGTTTTATGTAATCCCATTTCTCTATTTTTGTTGTCTGTGCTTTTGGAGTCTTATCCAAAAAATCATTGACTAGACCAACGTCATGGAGTTTTCCCCCTATGTTTTCTTCTTATAGCTTTAAATCTGTTATAATTTGGATATTTAACCCCCTAAATCTTGTGTTGAAATTTGATGCCCAGTGTTGGAGATGGGCTTAGTGGGAGGTGTTTGGGTCATGGGGGCAGATCCCTCTTGAAAGGCTAAATGCCGTCCAGGTAGTAATGAGTTCTTGCCTGTTAGTTCTGTGACAGCTGTTAAAAACTGCCTGGCATCCCCCTGCTCTCTTGCTTCTGCTCTCACCGTGCGATCTGCACACAAGCTCCCCTTCACCTTCCACCACAAGTGGAGGCAGCATGAGGCCCTCACCAGTAGTGGAACACATGTTGGTGCCATGCCGCTTGTACAGCCTGAAGGACCATGAGCCAAATAGAACTCTTTTCATTATAAATTTTCTAGCCTCAGGGAAAATTTAGTAACACACAATGGACTAAGACAAGCTCTTATGTTTTTAAATCTATTTTGAATTGATTTTTGTATATGGTGTGACATAAGGAATATTATTTTAATAGTCACATTAAATTGGCCAATGTAAGTTTTTAAAATGTTCCAGTTGGCAAGTAGCAGGTTAAAAAACACTAACACAGCCATGGAGACCATATTTTAGTCATTTTAGTATCTAAAAATACATTAGCAAATTCAGAAAGGGCAGCTCTTTTAATATACATAGTGTGTCTTTTTTATCCAAAGTGTTGCACTGAATTCTGCTCCACAGAGATTTTTAGTAACATAAGAAGCCAGAATGAAATGGACAAAATGTACCAAAAGCCTCAAAAATATTCATATCCAATGACCCAGTGATTCATCTTCTGGGATGATGTCCCTTTGGGTATTTTTGGCCTCCCCAGGTGGGGCAAGTGGTGGGTTTTGGAAAAGTAAGACGGTGAGACTCTGAAAGCTGTGCTAGATCACTTTCTTCTCCCCTTGGTCTGGGCACAGCCAACAGGTAGGGTGTGAAATGATATAGACTGCTCAGGACCTCATACCTAATAAATCCTGCACACACCGTGACATATGCTTACAGATTACATGCCTGTGTTTGCTCAGCTATCCCATAATATTCCTAAGTGTAGGTATGCATGTGGGGAGCAGATTGTCTGAGATAGTGGAAGCTTTAGTACTGCTCCAATGCCCTTCTACAACTCATAAGCTCACTGTAGAACCTTCCAGCTGAGCCCTGCTAATAGTTTCTGCACAATTTTTATTACTGTTACCATTGTTCTCTTTCACTTCCTATCCCTGTGGTCTTCCTCTTTATATGACTGTCTCATTGTTTTTGAACTAGACAACCTCACCTAACTTCTATAGTTCCCCAATGCTGTTTTCTCTTTCACCATACACCATATGGATGGTCTCCATAAACCAACCATTTTCCTCAGTTGTCCCTGGAACAAAGAGAATGAACTATAGCATCTGAGTTCTACTTTTAGATCCCCTGCAATTCCTGCAGGTTGTGTTTGTCCAAACATTTACCCTGCTGCCAGACTATAAGCTCTGCAAGGGTATTGCTGTGCTTCTCCTTTTTAGTGTTGTGGCTCCAGGGCCTGATGGTCAAAAAAGCTGTTGATTGAACAAAATGCATTAAAGGCAAGCCTGTATTCAGACTTCATTATTTTCAGGAAATGTAAATCAGATCCTTGCAGTGTGCCTTGGTGCTGCAAGTGGCCTTGATGGAAAAGAATGTGCAAATTAGGAACTAGCGTGTTTGCTTTTCGTTGACACATCTAGCAAGGGTTTGTTGTACATCTCCCCACACCTCCTGTGACATGTGCTGTACTTACTATAGAATTGGGAAAACACGTTCCTGTCCTTGAGACCTAATGGTGAGTAGAAGAGAAAATGTTGGCATGTAGTAGGCACTCAGTCATTGTTGAGTGAATGACCCACCATCACCAGGTGCACAGGAATCAACTGATGTTCCATTAATGGAAATGCTCCAATTCTGATGTCTTACTTGCTTGGGGTAAATGGTGTGATGGGGACGGCTTGCTAACAGAAGGGCTACCAAGGAAATAACTTAAATCCATTTTAGTAGTAAGTGTATGGTATATTGGTGTCGTGGTCCACCCTATATTAAAGGATGGTGTTTTTTCCTGTCAGTCCTTGAGGACTTGGTGCCAGGGTGGGGAGCAGCTCCTGGCTCTTCACCCTGAGTGATGGTGTAGGCGTTGATTGAAGACAGACATTAGGGTGCTTGGTTACAGTAATTGTGAGCTTTGTGATCAACAGACCATCTGAAGGCTCCCTCACTGTGCTAATTGGGGAGGGTGAAGAAGTGGGAGGAAGAGGAAGGAAGGCATTCGCTAGGGCAGTGGAGTTCTGGTTGTGCTCCAGGGCTAAAAGGCTCAAGTGGCCAGCTTACTCTAGATTATTAGACATTCTGAGAGGCCTCAGGCCCTTTTTCCATGTTTATTTTCTTTGCTTTTCTTCTTGCCACTTTATCCAGGAGATACGAGCAATGAAATCCTATTTATTTTACAAATGTAAAAGGATATTTTGTTTAATGTGGTGTTTGAAGTATCCGTCTGCCTCTGTGTGCCTGTTTACCCTGATAAGTCCTGGTAACACAGGCATAGGTGGGTGAGGAGCGAGGGCATGCAGTGTGTTCTCTGGGGAAGAAAGAATGTTAAATTCCAACAGAAAGTATTATTAAAATAGGTAATCCCTTCTTTGTTATTGAATTCTGTAGTCTGGTATCATATTGTGGCTTCTGAATGCAAGCAGCAGAATTTGCAAAGCTAATGAGGACAAGACTTTGTGAAGAAAAGAAATTAATGATTTAAGAAACTCCAATTTACCATAAGGAATAATAGTTTAATTTAGACTACTCTGTTTTGTGGCTTAACGTTTGCTTTAATTTATTCAGTGAATAATTCTGGTGCACTTACTGGAAGGCAGACACTTTTGGACTCCTATGAGCTTAGAGTCTTATGGGGGAAGAAGCAAAGTTATCTAAAAATTAAAATTCTGTTATTTAATAATTATGGATTAAGTGCTTATTGCAGTAAAGGTACTGGGGACACAGTGACTAGCAGGACTTGAGGAGTTTACATTCTAGCGGAGAAATGTTGGTTGTGGAGCTTCTAACAGAGCCTGGGGTGTGTGTGTGTGTGTGTGTGTGTGTGTGTGTGTGTGTGTGTGTGTGTGTGTGAGAGAGAGAGAGAGAGAGAGAGAGAGAGAGAGAGAGAGAGATCCATCGATCGATCTTGAAAGGTTGCCCCAAAGGAGTGGTTTCTTAAGGACAAATCTGAATGAACCTGATAAGGAACACTTAGCATGGAGGTGGGAATGCTTGCTGTGGTCTAGCAAGTCCGCAGATGTGGCAGCCCTGGCTCGCATGGGGTCAGACAGGATCAGGCAGAGACAGACTGAGGGGCTGGAGGTTTATCAGAGTAAATGCCCCTTCCTGGAGAACTTACTCTTCCTCTGTGGGCTAGAAGACAAAAGGGATCATTTCCTCATCCCACATTGTCACTTCTCAGATTCTTAATGAATTCTGTCTTCTCCACTTTATTCAGGTTTGTATTCCATTGTATTCCTCTTTCTTCAATTAAAGGTTGTTCTAAAAAGGGCAGTGTGTAGAATACGTGGGTGAGTAATTGCTCCCTCGTTGGCAGTGCCTGACAGAAATCTCACAGAAGCCTGTGACATTTCTCCTCCCGACTAAAGTGTAAGTCCTCTGAGAGTGGGGCCAGACTCACCTCTTTGTCCATCCTGGTGTTGGCTGCAGTCTGGTGATGATTGTGTGTTGGATACTACATAGGAGCACACTGAAGGATTTGCCATGGGTTCTTTGGAAGTCTGTGGTTATAAAATCAACTTTTAAATGG